TTCGTTCACACGTTATTTGAAAAGGAAATTTACAAATTCGTAAAAAGGAATTTACAAAAATGTAAATGTGCATTCGTCTTTTTACGTTAAACATAATTTGCCTACATTTACGTTTCATTCATTAATCTCTTTAAATAACAAACGACAAATGATAAAAAGTATGATTTTATTTGTTACGTCTTGTTTATTTGCTATTATTATACGCGGTTTCCTGCGATGCATGGTAACCTACTTGTTCGGAGCATCGTAGTACAAGCGTAGCGCGTAGCCACCGCTAGCGCGGGAACTCGACTGGCAAACTCGCGCTCTGATTGGTCGCGGTTTTTCGTTAATATCTCGTAAACGAAGCCGCAGTTTAAATTTTTGCTAAGGAAAAAGTTGTTCCAATTCACCCCCCGAGTGCCACATTTCCGGGTCGGAGGACATTTTTGGGACACCCTGTATATGTAATATGGAAATTTATTGTGGACAAGGCAAGAAACTGCAGGACAGTGTAACAACGATTCTTACACCGTACTTCGGATATTGGCACCATCTTTACATGGACAATTATTATAATACTTTGAATATTGCTGAAATCTTATTACAAAATAAAATACGAATATGTGGCACAATACGCGCCAATAAATTGCCAAGATTTTTGAAAATAAAATCGATAAATCTAAAAAAAGGGGAGAGTATTTTCAAACGGAAACGTGATATTTTGTTGCAAATTTGGAAAGATAAAAGAGAAGTACGAATGATTTCGACAATTCATAAATTTGAAATGGTTGAATGTATTGGCAAAAACAAAACCATGCAGAAACACAATTGCATTGCAGACTGTTTGAACTTGTATTCGGTCGGCCGATTCTATTCGGCTCATCATGCGAAGGCCGTGTATGTTTGTGTCGCGGCATAGGGAGGACGGGGGCATCCGCGTTCCACCTGCCGCCGTGACCGTGAACGTCGACCAAAAACCAACATCGCGTCGCGTCAAGTTCATTTCGATCGCCCGACATCAACGCAGTTCGCTTTGTTCTCTTCGACCGCGATCACGTCGTGAGCCGTTAGAACCGCTTCTTGCGCTTCATTAACAATTTCCGAGAGTCGTGCCGCGAAAACCCATCGTTTTCCGCGCTCTTGATAACAAAGATAGAAACCCGTCGTTTCTCTCCTGAATCCACGCGTCGCGAAACCCGTCGTTTCCGAGCCGTCGTGACCTCGTCTCATTTTCCTTTCCCTTTTCCTTCATCATCCACTTCCCCTCAAGTGGTACTGCGATGATGAAAGCCCCTCTTTACTGAGTGATCTCCTCCGGGTCTGAGCAGCCCTTGAAGTTTCTACATAATTTCGTCTGCACCTTTGTCCGTGTATCGTATTTCTTTGTCTCCGTGAAACGCCGGATTTACGACCCACGCGTCCGCATTCAAAACGCGTGTTATTGTCTCCCACTGCGCGTCCCCATCGGGACGGTCCCGGCAACCCGTTCGGAACGCGGCGAACCTCCGCGATTCGAGCGAAACACAGACTATAATTTAAACATGAACGGTGTCGACCTTGCAGATCAATATCTATCATATTACTCAATATTGAGAAAAACAATTAAATGGCCGAAAAAGGTAGTATTATATCTCATCAACTGCGGCCTGTTCAATGCATTCAAGATCTATAATTTTTGTAATAATGAAAAAATGAAATATAAAGATTTTCTACTTGCTGTGATGAAATTATGGACAACGGAAGAAAAATCGACGGATACAGTTATGGATATGGAACAACGTATTTCAAATACGACAAATCATCTACGCATCGACCCACCAAATAGACTCTCTGGTAATATGAAACAGCATATACTTGAACCAATAACGAGTAAAGGCAAGAAGAAGTTCCCAACCAAACAATGTAAAGTCTGTTCGTCCAATGGAAAAAGGAGAGAAACAAGATACTGTTGCAAATCGTGCCAAACACCATTGCACAAAGGAGTATGCTTTACGAGATATCATACTCTAAAGCATTATTCAAGCTTGTGAAATAAATAATAGTTGTTCTGGAACACGGTGTTCCAGGAATTGGTTTATGGCATCGATGAAGCGAGTGAAGATTTGTAAAGACTTTGTCCTGCACATTTGGTCGCCAAATGTGCACGGTACGAAATTATTTTATACTACCAGCAGTTTTAGTCACCCTCGCGCCAAATTAGTTACCGGTCCATGTCATAAACCAGGGCTTTCCGAAGGGTAACGGGACGCTGTTGTTCGTCCTTCGGCTCGCAGGGAGACTCGCGTACGGTACCTGGAGGAAAGTCCCCAAGGTTGTCAAACTGTCGTGCACCCTAACGGCCATTTTACACTTCCACCCCCACGAAGAAATGCGCTGAGGGCGCACTGTGAGAGTGGGGGGCAAGGCGCTTCACCGAGGAGGCCTTCGGTCTTACGAATTTTTACCAGATTCAATCAGTACTCCAAGGGAGAAACATCAATCTCATTTGACCAGTCAGTGTGACTGATAGAACCAAACTGGTGCTTGTGCGTGTACAAGTCAGTCTTGATCAGTCCACTACTTTTTGGTGAAACAAGTTTTCTCATTTACTGTCCGAGTTTGTGTAACCATTTGGTACGTCCTACATTCGGTGCATCTCCAACATTCGGAATCATTGCGGGCGCGAACATTGGTCCTTCGAGCCGGATGCCTGAGATGTTGAAGCCAGAGCTGCTGTGCAGAACGAGGACAGAACGAGGACAAGACGAGATCGAGAATCAAGACGAGATCGAGGATCGAGACGAGAGCCAGACAACCGTTGACGGAGGCTTCTGATCGCTGTAGTGTTGGACAGTCCGACTAAGCGAGCCTTCCACACATTCCTGTCTACGTCCGGTGAGACGAGTTTCATTCATTCCTTAATTTGCGTCAAGTTTTAAAATGTCAGAGGCAGACAATCTCCGTAAACTCATAGAGGAGTGCGGTCATGTTAAGGGTTCGCTCACGAGGTTTAAAAAATTCTGGGATGAACAGGGCAGGAATACAGCAATCGACTCTCTTCAAGAGCGACTCATCAGATACGTGCCGTTGATTGACAAATTCGACGCAATACAAGACCGCATTGAGGCACTTATAGTAGGGACGCAGGATGAAGACGCGCATAGACAGTTCAGGAATGTATTCGAGACTATGTATTTTGATGTTATTGGGGGGGTGCGGGGACACAAACAGCGTGCACAAGCGCCGGCTTCGAACGTTAACACGCATCGCACTGTAAATCTTACGTCTGCACCTCCCACGGTTTCTGAGACCGCGAGTACAGTTAGACTGCCAGCTATTCCAGTGCCCAATTTTCATGGTTGTATTGGGGAGTGGGTTTATTTTCGTGACAGCTTCGAATCACTAGTAAACCGAAACCAAGCGTTGAGTGGTATGGACCGTTTCCATTATTTGAAGTCCGCGGTAAAGGGAGAAGCTGCTCGTGCTCTTAAGTCATTGCCCATGTCCGAGAATAATTACGATGCCGCATGGAAGCTTCTAAGCGACCGGTACGAGGACACGAATGAACTGATTGACTATCACATGGAATCGTTTTTCGATTTATCGCCGATGGTGAAAGATTCACCAGTGAGCCTTAGGCAATTGCTGGACGATTTCAGCAATCATTTAAGATCATTACAATCACTGAAGGAACCGGTAGATTCAAGGGACACGTTATTGGTTCGTTTGTTAAGTACAAAGTTAGACGTGCGAACAAGCGAGGCATGGGAAAAACGGGTATCGGAGTTAGGGGAAAGAAGAAGGTTATCTGACTTACAGAGTTTCCTTGAACAACGGTACAAGTTTATTGCAAAGGCAACTAGGGCATATCAGGCAGTCTCAGGTTCACCGAACAGTAAATTCACTGTACAGAAGCCGCGAACTCGATTATCGAAGAAGTTTCCACCGAGGAAGCAACACCTTCTCAGAGCTATGTTGCTCACAGTTCCGACGGGTCAGAGCATGTGTTCTTATCCACTGCAGTTATTTATGTTATGGATGATGAGGGTAGAAAACATGAATGCAGGGCCTTACTCGATCAGGGGTCGCAAGTGAATATTATAAAGGAGTCGTTCGCAAGGCGAGTAGGCTTGACGTGGGAATCAACACGGTCTTTGATTTCGGGCATAGGGGCCACTGACGCAGGTAGAAACGTTAGCGGCCAATTGCAGGTACGGATCGCGTCGCGATGTACGGGCTACCGTGCTAAGATGCCGTGTCTGTTAATGAAAAAAATTACGTCTGATGTTCCTAATTTTCATGTTTCGAGACAGGTGTTAAGTGTTCCATCGCAACTTCACCTCGCGGATCCCCAATTCGATACACCTCACGATATCGACCTCCTTATCGGGAATGGTTATCTGTGGGACATTATGTGTGTAGGCCAGCATAGATTAGGACGTGGATTACCGGTTTTATTAAAAACACAGCTGGGTTGGGTGTTCGGGGGACGCATGCACGGGGCCGTTGAATCCCAGGCGCAGATCTGTGGGCTGATTACTAACGATCAGCTGAATGCTCAGTTCAGACAGTTTTGGGAAATAGAGCAAGTTTCCACAACCAATGACGCGAACAGTCACCCGTGTGAGGATCATTTCGTACAAACGGTCGCACGAGACAGGGACGGGCGATATATGGTGACGATTCCATTCACCGACGGTCTTCGGGATCTTGGCGATTCTTTCAACATGGCCGAGCGGAGGTTTCTTAATATAGAAAGAAAGTTGATTAGGTCACCCATATTAAGGCAGGAATATCGCGAATTCATGCGAGAATATGAAAGATTAGGGCACATGTCAAAGATACCTCGGGATGGTCATTCGGTTGCAAATCCGGTTTATTACCTGCCGCACCATGCCGTGACGAAGGAGACGAGTACCACGACAAAGGTGCGGGTAGTTTTCGACGGGTCCGCAAAGACGTCCACGGGAGTATCATTGAACGAAATACAGCGTGTCGGTCCAGTAGTTCAGGACGATCTAATTTCGATTTCAATTCGTTTCCGGCAATTTCCAGTAGTGTTAAATGCTGACATCGCGAAGATTATCGGCAAATTTTGATAACGCCCGAGTAACATGGTCTTCAACGTATTTTATGGCGAGAAGAACCCACGCAGCCAATTGCAACATATGAACTCAACACGGTTACGTATGGTACTGCGTCAGCTCTGTTTTTGGCCACTCGTGTCTTGCAGCAGGTCGGCTTAGACAATATCGACACATCCAATCGCGAGTCACATAATCATACAAGATTTTTATGTTGACGATTTGCTAACGGGCGCGGACACGATAGAGCAGGCTAGAGTGTTAAAACAGGACGTCAGTAGGCTGTTAAGGGAAGCAGGGTTTGAATTACGGAAATGGGCATCACACGAGCCAACAGTGATTAACTCGGTGTCAGACGAACCAAAGGACATCGTGTCGCAGGCTGAGATGGATCCAAGAACCCTTGGAATGTTGTGGGGCCCACTGACCGATGAGTTGCGGATCGCCATAAAAGATAGAATCACGACACGGGTAACGAAACGCGTAATATTATCCGAACTCGCGAGAATATTCAACCCGCTCGGTTTAGTGGGTCCAGTTGTCATTAGGGCAAAATTGTTGATGCAGTTGCTGTGGCAGCTGAAGGTGTCCTGGGATGAATCTGTTCCACAAAGGATTCATGCAGAATTCCAGGATTTCCAATCAGATTTACAATCTTTAAGGCGGCTTGCGATTCCCCGACTTATAATAGGTCTGAATTCTACGCAGGTAGAAATTCACGGTTTCTGTGATGCTTCTGAGAAGGCCTACGGTGCATGCGTGTACCTGCGCAGGGTCGACGGGAGGGGTAATGGCACAACTCGTTTATTGTGCGCCAAATCGCGAGTGGCACCCCTAAAAACAATAAGTCTGCCGCGACTAGAACTTCGCGGGGCCCTTTTGTTAATGCACTTGGTCGACAAGGTGCGAACTGCTTCCCGGATTGTCATAGCTCGGGAGTTTTATTGGAGTGATTCCATGATCACGCTTGCCTGGCTGAAGGGATCTCCTAATCAATGGAAGACGTTTGTCGCGAATCGGGTTACGGAGATTCAAAACCTATCACGGGGCACGTGGCGTCATGTAGGATCCGCTCAAAATCCTGCAGATCTCTTATCGCGAGGAGTACGGCCGTCCGCTTTACAAGACTTGAGTCTTTGGTGGAACGGCCCATCGTGGCTGCAACAATGTCCAACCGAGTGGCCGGTCACTGGACAGTTACCTATCGAGTTGCCAGAGGGAAGGGCCGTAGTGTGTACTGTCCTCAAGGGAGAGACAGACACAAATTGTAGTCTCCTGACACGATTTTCAAACTGCGCGCGATTAATTCGGGTGGTCGCGTATTGTTTACGGTTCTGTCATAACATTCGTACCCGTAAAAGTCACAGGGATGCTTCGGGTGCTTCTAAGAATGACCAGATAAGTAGATCTCCGGAATCGTTTGTTAAGTTATCCATTAGGGACTTAGAGTTGGCCGAGGATGCCATCCTTAAAATGGTCCAGAAATCAGCATTCGGTCAAGAGCTAGTAGATTTGCGTTTAGGCAATGTTGTCGGCACTTCAAGTACGGTACGCTGTCTAAATCCGGTTTTAGACGACAAAGGACTACTCAGGGTGGGCGGTAGGCTTAGCCATGCCGAATTAAGATACGAGCAGCAACATCCTGTGATTTGGCCAAAGGACAGTCCTATTACTCGAGCAATAATTCGTCGCGAACACGAACGGAGTTTGCATGCGGGATGTGAAGCGGTCTTATCAGCGATTCGGAGGCGATATTGGCCACTGGCCGGCCGAAGCGTCGTCAAGGGTGTTTTAAGGAGTTGTGTAAGATGCAGTAGGACAAACCCAAAAGGTGTTGCTTACTTAATGGGTCAACTACCTGCGGCACGAGTCCGAGTCAGAGCTCCATTTTTTAGCACTGGAGTAAATTATGCAGGGCCCTTTTATGTAAAGGACCGGACGCGAAGTACGGTGACGAAAGCGTATTTGTGCCTATTCGTGTGTATGGTTACGAAGGCCGTTCATTTAAAGCTGACAATGGATTTAACGACAGAGGCATTCCTATAAAACGTTTCATCGCGCGCAGGGGGCGATGCCGGGATCTGTACTTGGATAACGGGACAAATTTTGTAGCAGCACGCAATGAAATGCAGCGATTGCAAGGGTTTCTTTCAAATGATTCAAATCAGCGGTGCATTTCTGAGTGAATCGCTTAAGTCGGTTTCAGTTGCTGCAGGCGATGTATCAGCACTTCTGGAAACGATGGCAACAGGAATACCTCCACCATTTGCAACAACGGAACAAATGGAAGGTTAACATTCCGGACCAGTTTGGAGTAGGAACCATGGTGGTCCTCGAGGAGGACAATCTTCCTCTGTTGCGGTGGAAGCTGGTCCGAATCACGGCGCTTCATCCCGGTGCGGATCACATAATCAGGGTCGTGTCGATACAGACAGCAAATGGACCCGTGAAGCGGCCGGCCACAAAGATTTGTGTCCTACCCCTGGACGAAGAAATCCCAGCAAGCCAAGCTGAACCCGGAGGATCATCCGATCACAACGCGACTCTTTAAAAGAGTCTTATCGAACTCGCCATGTCCATACATGTACATCACTCCGATAGAATTAACATTATGATATTGTTTGTAACTTGTATAAATAGGATTAAGTTGTTTATAGTCTTCTACTCGTAATATCCTGTCGCGTTACATTAGTGATTCATGTACATAGTCTAGTGTTTTTTGTCTGTTATTAGTTATAGTATTTGAACGAGAGCCGTTCAAGGTGGGCGGCATGTTCTGGAACACGGTGTTCCAGGAATTGGTTTATGGCATCGATGAGGCGAGTGAAGATTTGTAAAGACTTTGTCCTGCACATTTGGTCGCCAAATGTGCACGGTACGAAATTATTTTATACTACCAGCAGTTTTAGTCACCCTCGCGCCAAATTAGTTACCGGTCCATGTCATAAACCAGGGCTTTCCGAAGGGTAACGGGACGCTGTTGTTCGTCCTTCGGCTCGCAGGGAGCCTCGCGTACGGTACCTGGAGGAAAGTCCCCAAGGTTGCCAAACTGTCGTCCACCCTAGCGGGCATTTTACACTTCTACCCCCACGAAGAAATGCGCTGAGGGCGCACTGTGAGAGTGGGGGGCAAGGCGCTTCACCGAGGAGGCCTTCAGTCTTACGAATTTTTACCAGATTCAATCAGTACTTCAAGGGAGAAACATCAATCTCATTTGAACAGTCAGTGTGACTGATAGAACCAAACTGGTGCTTGTGTGTGTACAAGTCAGTCTTGATCAGTCCACTAGTTTTTTGTTGAAACAAGTTTTCTCATTTACTGTCCGAGTTTGTGTAACCATTTGGTACGTCCTACATTCGGTGCATCTCCAACATTCGGAATCATTGCGGGCGCGAACAATAGTTAAAATGTAAAAAATCTTATATAATAGATGTATAAAATATATAGTAATATTTAACAATACTTTATGTGAATATAATACCAAATGCAAATTAAAAATGTGCATATATGCATCCTATTCCTTGCTAAGAATGCTTCTGGAGCGTTCAAAAATGTGCGGGTCCTGGGAGCGCGTTGAGCGCGCAGAGCGCCGTACGCAATGTGTTAAGAATTTAAATTTGAAAGCGTCTAAAACAGAACCTTGTCTATACTATGACATTAATGACAATTACATGATTATTATTATTTTGTACGTTGATGACATGCTCATAGCTTATAATGATGATAGGAAGTTAAACGAGTTGAAAAGTAAACTAAAGTGTGAGCTAGAAGTAAAAGATCTCGGTGAACCCAAATATTGCGTAGGAATAGAAATCGTCAGAAAAAGTAATAAAATTTTTCTTAGGCAGAGGAAACATATAAATAAGATTATAGGAAAATTTAATTTTATTGATGCGAAGGTATGTAATACTCCGAGTGATAGAGGTTTATTGTATTCTTTGAAAGAAGACAAATCGAGTATAAAATTGCCTTATCGAGAACTTATAGGAAATTTGATGTACTTATCCGTTGCAACTAGACCAGACATAATGCATAGTGTAATATTTCTGTCACAATTCAATACGTGTTTTGGGAAGGAGCATTGGAACGCTGTGAAACGAGTAGTTAGATATTTAAAACACACTATTAATTATGGTCTAATGTATGAAAAAAATAGTGACTTTGAGATTAAAGGATATGTAGATGCTGACAGGGGTTCCAACGTTCTTGACAGAAACTCGTTTACTGGATATGCGTTTATGTTCAGTGGTTCACCTATCGTATGGAAAAGTCAAAAGCAAAAAACAATTGCATTATCATCTGCAGAAGCAGAGTACATGGCAATGTCTGAGTCCAGCAAAGAAGCGATGTTCTTGAGAAATTTATTGTTAGAATTAGGTATAGAAGTAAAAATAGTAATTTATAACGACAATCAAAGCGCACAGTTGCTGGCGAATAACAGCGTGTTCCATGCGAGATCAAAACATATAGACTTACGTTATCATTTCATACGAGATACTCTAAATAATAAAGTGTTTGATTTATTTTATTTACCAACAGAAAAAATGGTTGCGGATATAATGACGAAACCGCTTTGCAAAATGAAACATTATTTTTGTGTTATCAGTTTAGGAATGCGAAAAATTCTAAGCGAGAGTGATTGTGACAAGCATGCATTGAGGGGGTGTGTTGAGACATTGTAAACTACCATGCATGCTAGTCTAGAGAGTTCTGATGCGTGCGCATCTTGCGGTTGTGCGTGGCGCGCTCATCTGGCCCTAAGCGGTCTGACTTGTATCAGATTATATTAGATGTGTGTGCCGCGTCTTGCTGCTGTTCTCTTAAATAAAGTGTTATATGGTTTATTCTCTTATATAATAAAGTTATTTAACTTGTTCCAGCCCTAATATATGTTAGTTGGTATTATACCTTTAATAATATTCATGCGAACAATCATTTTCAAGCATGAACTTCATCAAGAGTAAATTGAGAAATCGTCTAACTGATGAGAATCTGGAATCCTGTTTGAAATTAAAAACAACGACATACAAAACAGATTTATCAAAACTTTCCAAGGAAATGCAAGGTCATAGTTCACATTAAATGCGTGTCTTGTATTTTTTGTCAATAAATAAGATTATTATTATATCTGGTTATATTTAATGTTTACTAGCTGGTTTAAACCGACTCCGAAAAACATGGTTCTTGACAGCTTCTTGAAAAGAAATTTGGCTCTCAAAAAAATTTTAATCGTCCTGCTGCTGATTTTTGGATCTTTTGACTAATGAGTTTCCCGACCACTGGTATAGGGGATCGAAATGAATGAAGGTGCATCCTGACTGCGTTTCTGCACCTGAGGTTTCAGAGAGGGGCATATGTAACCGTCCAAATTACATCATGTTCCGACGCGACCGTAGTAATAGGGATTCTCATGGACAGACCGAATTCCCCACCACCACTGTCGCCTTGTGACCCGCGAGCGTCGTACGAAGATCCACGAACGGCGGACGAGGAACCACGTAATCGCGATATCCCATCTAATTACCGCGGATGCGTGAGTACCGATCCCCACTCAATCACGATCGAAGGAGGTCGATGCGAGTTCGTCGATCTTCACTCTACGTCTGGAAGCGATCCAGATAAGTCGGGCAAAGGGAATAGAGACCGTTAGGCGAAAAACGATACGTTGTAGTAAAGTCAAACCGACTTGGTGTACAGAGTCAAACTGCCTCTTACATCCTTACGCGTCGCGTCTCAAACAGAGGAGTCACGAGCACAAACCGTGCCGTGGCACCCCTGATACGAGATCGAATCCGTAACAAGCTATAGGACGCACAGCGTAGAAGTCACCAACGTAAAATCATATTTAAAATCAATTACATTAACATCAATTCATCCTACAGAAGCGTAAAGAAATAATCAATTTGAAATCTATTTAAACTCGTAACGTGGAACTTGTGTTTGAGGAACGTATGGTGAACCGGGCATCAATAAGAACTCTGGAAATCTTGTAAAGGAGAACTTGAAGTTATAATATAATACATTGTACGAACAGATGTGCTATTTAGAATCACCAAATTGTCGTAAAGTCGAAATGACTAGTCTACAAAATAATTTCGCCTAACGTTAGTATTAAGAAAAGTTTTGCAACCACTGCTATCATTCCGGATTGTTTCGTGTCCTACCAGTATCTTCCCAGTTATATCGTTCGGTATTGTGAGCGAGTGTAGAGTAGGGGCATAAGCACGATCGAGGTTTTTCTACCAGTGTTGGAAATCGGTACAGGGACCACGTACGCGTGCTTTCGCCAAAATCTTTTGCATTGCGGACTAATGAAGGTCTAGTGTATGTCTCCACCCGAGAAGTCCTCCCGATTTCTCATCGGCGGGATCATCGGCTCCTGCGACAGATATCAAGGCATCTCTAGCTAGGACCGCGATACTGTAACTGCGAAGAATAACCTCACTCTCCGTCATTCCGTGCCCGAAGGCACGAATCCTGCCTTGCTACAATATCGACGAATATAACTCAAGGATACATAGGAAGCTCAGTGCTGCGAGGAGGTCGACTCCGCGCAGCACGTGCTGGAGGAGTGCCCGGCCTTTGCCAGGGAGAGGCGGGCGCTCCGTACAGCTGTAGGGGGAGACCACTCGCTCCCGGCCGTGGTTGCGGCCATGGTGGGGAGCGAGAGGTCGTGGAGGGCGGTGTCCTCCTTCTGCGAGACCGTCATCTCGCGGAAGGAGGACGACAAGCGGGACTGCGAGGCGCGCGATCCCGCTCGTCGAGAGAGGAGGAGAGCGAGGCGGAGCCGTGGACGTGGTCGGGGGACCCGCACGGCCGGCTCTGCCGACGTCGACGGGGGGCAGGTCCCTCCGTAGGCGTCCCGCCTCGCTCTCCTCGCAGGCTGGG